CACTTAAGAAAATTTTAATAAATATATCTTAATTATGAAAATATAGTAGCATGTTTTTTAATTTTTGGAACCTAACCCTCCTTTTTGTACTAGTTCTTTGTTTCGCATAACACGGCAATTTTTTGGAACGTAACTACCGTGTTATACGGGGGTTACCTGTAAAAGGATTGACAAAAAAGGTGACCATTGGCTCGATGATATTAAACTGTTGAAAGCACTTTTCAAACTGGTCTTGAAGTAATTGAAGGTTAATAATAAATGTTGATAAGTCAATTTCGCCGTCGCCTATCATTTTTTTCATATTTAAAAAATTTACAAAAGACTTCATCTTCAAAGATGTAATATCCACAAAACCAGTTTAGCTTTAAACGAGTTTATAGACCCTATCATTGTAGCTATATATTTGTCCTTTTCCTGCATCTCTAAGTTTAAATAATTCAGTTTTTCCATTATGTCTGTGAAAAAGCCAAATCCGCTAGCCAACGAGGCTCTGTTAGCTCAAAAAAATTTTGATGTTTGGCATTGAGATAATTTTTTTATTTCTTCGATTAAATTTACAAATCTAGCAAGAACATTGCCTTTACTGAGCCAACGTACTTCAGTATGCAGAACGAGATCAGGATCTTCAGGATTTTCTAATACGGCCTTGAAAAGGCGGTGTTGCAAAGGAGCTGCGCGAATTAAGTTGACTATTTTTGTAATTATTTTCATGACGTGTCCGAAGGGTAGTATTTTACCACGCAAAACTTCTTAGTGGATAATATGATACGACATAAAAGTTTGGAAATGATTCTTTCGTGGGTAATATTTTTAGTAGATCTTCTTTTTCAGTAAAGTCACTAAATATTATTCTCACCATAACTGCTAACAGATATGTCTGTAGACTCGTCAAATTGTAATGAGAACCATTCACATATTTCCAAGTCACTCTTTAACTGAGCTTGCATGTCCTTTGAAATGGCTTGTATTCTTCTTGTAATGGTGTTATCTGACAACTAAGTCTTGTATTGCTGACATGATCTCACGTTTGTTCGAAAATCCCTCAAATAAGCAATCGGCGCCAGTGAGAAATGCGTGTTTTAACAACTCACCATCCTGGAAAGGCTTTTTCTTCTTTGCGAATACGTGGGAAATTTTTAAAGAAATAATAGTGGCATTTTTACATCTTATCACAGGCCTAGTGAAAACTAACTGTTCAGAGGACAGATTTGATTTTAGCTGATCTATTTTCTTCTTTCAGATTTAAGTAGATAGTTCGTATTAATAGTAGTATGAATTGTCAGGAAATGACGTTCAACATTATGTTTTTTCGGCATCGCAACGCTATTTCTACACAACGAACAAATACATTTGTCTTTTAAATTGACGAAGCAATATGAATCCTCCCATTCAGTATTAAAGTTATAGGTCCGTTGTCTTTTACTTGATCCACTCATTTTGGGTAAAAATAAGAAAGTATTTAAAAACAACGAAGGAGGAAACACAGTATACAAAAAAATATGAGCGTATAATTATGAATAAATAATGAAGTAGCTACGTCAAATGAACGTTTATCTCACAGCACAAACCACACACTATTGTCTGACTCTCAGGAGACAAATGTCTTTGTTGTCACTGCAAGCATAAAAACGGACCGGATCATTTCATTTTAGGTATGGGAAATTAGGTTGGCGAAGATTTGGCGCGATGTTATGTGACATGCCATAACAAGCATGGCAAATATCCCCAGTCATGTCTGGTGCGTATGATTGGCGTGGCGCACTATGTGTGTGCATTCAACTGTCGATAGCGACAATTTTGTGGGTAATAAGAAGGCCTTCTAGGGTGATATCGACCACGCATTGCGACTATCGTCGAACATGACTTAGCGAATGTTCTGTCTGAGCTACTATCTTGAGTTTCCATAATAATTCGTCATCGTGCCCAAGCAACCACCGTTTTGTGGTTGATGTGTGGTTTTGAAGTGGTACGTGTGAGTTGTACCATAAAGTCAAAACACGTGCACCTGACCGTGATGAAGGTGATATTTTGGCTTTTGTGACTTTGGGGAAGCTGGAAGCACTGTGCTTTATATTAAACGACGTGGTATGATTGTTAACCATTAATGCGGACTTTGCATAAACCGATAACGTAATAACGGGATTTGACTGTATTTGATTTCATCCGCATTATATTTAGGAAAAGAGCGTTTTTGGAGAATCAGTTCAAATTCAGCAAGGAGACAAAGCGTCCAAGTATTGTATGATCTTTGTGTTCTTTGTTCAGTGACTTGTTATATTGATTTTGTTCTACGTTAAACCTGAGTGAACTATTACTGTTTGTTTCGTTGTACCTTTTCCCAAACATCGCGAAGGCTCATTAACAGACTACTTGTTTAGTGATCTAAATAAATTATTATTATTTATATCGGTAAATACTTGTATATTTTAATTGTTAGCATTTTGTTTTGTTACTTCTTATCAATTTGAAATTCTTATAATAAAATACCTAAAATTTTTTTTTTATCTTTCAGGACAGAACGATGGTGTATGTGGCGACCATAATCACAAGCCTTGTTTGACATAGAACAACAAAATTAACAGTTAAAATTTTAAAAAACAACAGCACTTTAATAACATTTTAAATAAACATAAATTTACGCATTTAAATTGTGGATGAAAATATTTTTAAAAAACACAGCTCTGTGGGTGTTAAACAGAACCTTTTTTGGCAAGCCTACTATGGGCTCGACCGGGCCCACGACGGGCGGCCGGGTGGTGAGGGCGGTGGGATCCGATATATCACCCCTCGTAACCTTGAATACTTTTTCGGGCATTGTTTCAACTAGTTTTTTAAGGTAAAGTTTGCTAATTCCTTGCCAATTTTCAACGATTGCCCGTTTCAAGTCTTCAGCTGAACTATATTGCCTCCTAATAACGTAAACTTTTCTTGCTAACTAGAAATTCCCCTATCAAGCGTGACTTTTTATGAGAAAAAAGAGATTGAAGAATTGAGAAGAGTAGAGATTTTAAGAAATTCAAGAAGAGTCACTAATATTTCTACAAATTAACAAGTTTATACTACCTGTTTTAACATAAAGAGCAACAAACAAAATTTCACTTGGAGTGGACAAAAATAATAGAAGTTATAGAGAATTCACTTACACACATTAACAGATGATGGCGTTTATATTAAAAAATATTAAAATCCTTATAAAATTTCTTTACACAATACATGCTGAGTAAAACATTGTGCAGCTCTTGACAAAGCCATTCTTACTCGATGTTGCTTAAGTCGGACTTCACGGCCTTCGGGGTCTCAGTTGTTCTTATTCTTTTAGATATAGGATTTTTCCAACCAATTTTACTGTAACGCCTTCCCCTTGTTTTTTTTTTACTCGGACCCCGTTTCCCAAACAGAATTCCCAAATAGATCTGGCAGTCTGTGGTGTAGTATCTTGTTGCATCTTCTAAAATGACCCATCTATCGTCCTTTCAAGCTTGTCTTGGTAGTTGTACTAGTTCATGCTACCATGTACAAACGCAATATTGGATCTGCCTGCCATAGCCAAAACATGCCTGTACCATAATCGATCTATGTTGTCAGAACTGTACACGAATCGACGTTTTCTATTGAACGTTTAACATTGTTTTTGTTTAAGAGATTCACGGACACGAGACATTTCATCTTTTAATGTGAATTTCTTCGTTGTTATCTTAATTTTATCGCTCCAAGGGTTTGGACCGAGCATCGTGCGCTCGTTCTACATCCCGATTTTTTTTTTCTTAATCAGTAAATAATTTCGAAAAATGTATTCAAGATATTAAAAACTAATTCCATCGTTTATAAATACTTTTCTCCTCTTCACTGTCCATTTATATAAATTAAACATTTATAACACGATAATATTACATCTCTTTGTAAGAAAATTACTAACAATAAGATAACAATTGTTGATAAGAAAGAGGCGGTATTAAAGTTTTAGTTAATATTTTCGCAGAATTCTTTAAGCCATGATTTCCAATTTAAAATAGATATGACGGATTCAAAATATCTAATAAATTTAAAAGAAATAAACCTACTTCGTATGCTTTGCGTAAAGATATTGCATTAAAATTTTGTAAATGATTCATCGATGATTGTTAAATTACATAACAGCTCATCCCAAGGTAATCCAACAGGAAATTTATAAGCAAATTTTCTCTTTCGTCTTGACGTTCGTAACAATTACAGTATTCAAATACAGTAGACCCCTCTATAACACTGTTGATAATTCTGTTTTATATGAATTCCATGTTGTACGAGTCACTTAGATTTTACAAATACGTGAGCCATTCACAGCCCAGTACACGTATTTGTAAAATCTAAGTGACTCGTACAACATGGAATTCATATAAAACAGAATTATCAACAGTGTTATAGGGGGTCTACTGTACAGTACGTTAAACTTACTTTAAATATTTTAACATTTTCTAATTGAATCTTTGGTGTAGACGTATCGAAATCTATTAATAAACTGCGTACTTCTTATTTCAATATGGCTTTTTACTGATAAAAATAATCAGAGGAAATGGTGGAATTATTTTTAAATGAAATAGCATTATTTCCTCGTGATGATAAGAGATATAATTTACTGTATAATGGAAAATGGAATTTATGCATTCCATATCTTTATATATAAACGGAAGACTTTACTCTGATCCGCAATTTTCCCGACAAATCAATTATTATTAGAGAAATAAGCTGATATCATTTAAATTTACCGATTGGTGAAACAATTTTCCAGCCAAATTATGTATTAAATACAAGAGAAAAATAAATAGTTTATAAATGTAAACGGTGTTCACGGTGTTAAATTTAAAAGATATCCAAATAATGAGTCTTTATGAATAAGTAATGCAAATACATGATAATCTAATTCATATTATGATGTAATTATATATAAAAAAGGAATTATGGAAAAAGAAATTTTACATAAATCCGAGATACCATAAATAGATATACAAACTTTTAATGTGTAATACTTATTATAAATCAATACTATTTACGACTATACAAATAATAAAAATAGCCCTTATAAATGCATGTTTTAATAATAAATTTAATATACAGTAAAACCTGTGTAAAACGGACTCAAACGGTACCGAATATTTTTTTCGTTTAGGAAAGTTTCCGCTTTATTCGGGTTCCGTTTTTGGCAGATTTTACTGTAGATAGTGTTTTTATATTGTAATTTATTGATTGTGGTATTTTATTAACAAAGATATACGAACAAACACACGATTAGTCAACCGTGTTTGGAGAAATAAAAAATTATACTGATGAATGGTGCCATCTCCGTATGAAATTCATTTAGTCTTATTGTCAATATTTACTTATTTAATTTATTATTAATTCTCTTTAACCTTATAAAATAACAGCAGAAAGTTTTGTTTTTGTTCTGTAGGTGAGAACCCCAATTCTAGTTAAACGTGAATAAAGTTACCAGTTATTGTTACGTAAAACATGTTAATATTTTAATATACGAAGTATTTAGTAAATTTATATGTAAAAAAATAACTTATATAACAAATTTTAAGTGTTATTAAATAGGCAACAGTATCAAAACAATAACATTTCTACATAAAAGGTAAAAATTGTCAAAGAATCTTCTGTAATTAAACTCTATAATACTAATATTAAAACAGTAAAATTGTCACATATTAGTAACCTTTTAACTTAAGATTAAAGATAAATAAATAATATTTGTATCACACTTTTATCTCTACTGATTATCTGTTCCTAGAATTAATAGATAAAACATATTTTACCTGGCAATATTTAATCATTGCACATTGCAGCATTAAGATTGCTTATATTTTTCGTTTTTAGAGTTTTTGAAAAAAGTTCGTGTCAAACCGACGAGATAACAGTAATTATTTTGAGACTCCAATATTATATTTGGTAGTTTTCTAAAATGACACCAAAGTGCAAATTTTGGTTTAGTGGGATGCGGCAATATGGGCGATCTGCCAAGAGGAGAGGCATCCCTGGAGGATGTGGTTTCTATTTGGGCTAAACGAGTGAAAAAAACCCGAAAAACTCAGCCTCGTGATCAGCCTCGCTGGTGAGGCTCGAACCCACGACCAACTACTAGGGTTCAGTAGTTTTATCCACTTGGCAACCGGTGGGTCGGGAGTGCAAAGTCATTCCTTTTCAATCGTGAATGTCAACTCTATTGTGAAAACTTCCAAAATTGCATGTGTCATTACAAAAGAACTCTTTTTGTTTGAATCTTGAATTTTCTTCGAGCGAACAAGTAGTTTACGCACTAGAATTTATATTCAGCGTTATTTATTAAAGAAATGAGACATTACAGAAGTATTCTTACAGATATAGTAGAGAGGTTGCAGTCGACGTTTACAACGCGAAAACGTGAACGTCGGACGTTCAGCGCCGCCTTCCTGTAAGCTTACAAGTTTGACAGTGGCGTTTGGAACGTCGAGCACGATTCCGCTGACGTTCCAAACGCCATTGTCAAACTTCTAGACTCACAGGAAGGCGGCGTTGAACGTCCGACGTACACGTTTTCGCGTTGAAAACGTTGGCCGCAACTTCTCTAATATTTTAATAATTAAAATAAATAAAATCTACTTACCAATTATCTTTAGTTTTTGTTCTGCTTTTTTTTATTTAGTATTTTCCTTATTCTATCCGGTATGATTTTCATTCCAAATTTTTACCTAAATGCCAAGAGAAATAAATTTTGTATAGAATAGATCCTTACCACAAACTGAGATCAATAATATATCACTCGATCCTCTATGTCCAAGGTGTACAATATTCACGTGATCTGATATTTTAAATGTTTAAATAATATAATATTTTTATTTATTATAAAAGTAAAAAATTAAAATACGATTAAAAATTAGGACATTGTGACGATGTCACAATAATTTATCTTATCTTAATAAGTATTTTCTACGAAAACGGAACTCAGCTCCACGAAGTATAAAACTAAAAATTGTACGAAAAAAACCTATAAAACTGATCTAAATCTAAAATAAAACAATGTCATAGAGATTAATGTAAATCGACAGCAATCGGAAATTCATAAAAATATCATTTCAGCTAATTAGTAAAATATTTCAATGAATTGCAGTTATATATATATATATATATTACAACAAATAAAGTGAAATATTGAATTAATAAAGCGCTTTTGCTCTTATTTTTTACGTTTAAAGATTAAAATTTATTACATTATTCAATTTTTAACCTTTGATCTGTATTATTTCATCATTTCTTTTCTTGTTTTTCTTGATAATTTTGCATACTTGATATTAATATCTTGTCAGTAATTAATATATAATTGTTTATGTATAATTTTCTACAATTCTGATTTAAATTTACTTAAGAAATTTGCATTATTGTAACAGTTATATTCCCAATTTCAATTATTTGTAGTACACTATAAGGTATTATAAGTTAATTTTGTAACACGGCAATTTAATACCTCTTGAACTTTCATAGTAACAGCTTATGTGGGATAAATATCAGAAATGCAATATGCATTTCGTATATTTATCCCTCATAAGTTCATTTCAACCTCAAAAGGAATCACGAGACGAGAAAACGTCCGAATCGCTCTCTTTGTTTGGAAGTAAGACAGTTTTCCATGTTTCGACAATATTTCATCTCGCCCGCTACAAAGTTTCTACAAAGTAAGTATCATTGTGAACTTTTACATTACCTTTTAGATGAAGATATTGTGGTATTGGAAGTAACCTTTAAGACTGTAATTTAGTTTAGTTGTGAAATAAAGTTGACTCGCAGTTGCAGTCAGTATGAAAAGTGTACGTTTGGGGCAAGATGGGGTACCCGTCTAGCCCCAGGTTGACCATGAATATGGCCTAGGAATCCAGAAGTATTTTTGGAGGCAGACTTTATTGCTGTAGAGACGACAAACAGACCCTTCAGCAACAGGACATACCAGGATTAACGTTTTAGAACAACCAAAACCATGAGTATGCCTAATTGGGTGCAGAAACGGTCACTGATTACACCACCACAAGTAGGCCTACTCATTCAGTTTTTACTCGAGTCTCTCTCATAGAATTAATGCCAATTCCACATGTTGGAACTACGAAAAAAATTGAAACTAGCAGAAGGAGAGGGAAAACAGCAATCCTAACAGATACACCGTACAAGCAGCAGCTGATGGAACAATAAAAACAATCAACAGCAGTTTCGGCACCCCCAGAAAAACGGTCATTTTTTACCGGAAAAAAATTCCGTAAAATCAAAAGTTACAGGCATCAGCAAGGGTAACAAGAAACAAAAGACAAATGACACAGAATGTGGAGGATTATACTCTGCATCTACAGAGAGTTGGGCTAAATGTAGCCGTTGTGATAAATGGCATACTGTTCTTGTGCCAATATTGAAGAAAACCACAGTTTAACCGCTTTAATTTGTCCTTCTCGTATATAAAAATAATATTTACATATAATTTTAAAATATTAAATTTTCTTGTTTTTAAAAACGTTTTTCAAAAATTAAATTTTGTATTATATATTAACAAATGTTGTAGTTGCCGAGAATAAAAAAATTATCGTTCTCAACAAAGTAATTCCCATCTTGTGGCTTTTCAAACCTTAAAGTCCTTATCTTTGCCCCACCTTCCCCTATATACATTTCTAGTAGCTCATATCTTGTCTATTATATATTTGGGTCACGATCAACTGTCAACAACCAAATTGATAAACACTATAATCATCTATTGTAAAAAAATGTTTGTTTTAAATTTTCAAAATAACATTTACATAATGCAATATTTTTATTACAAATGATTAAAGTATTTTCACTGTATAGTTAATAACTTTGCTTCCTATCCCAAAACATTCTAGAATATTTTGTCTAACTTTTCTAAACTTAATCCCATCAGACAGTCCACTTTCCCATCCAAACAAATTTACCAAATATATTAATATGATGTCCTAAAACGCAGATACTTCAACTTCATCAAGTTATAAATTATAAATCCCTTAATTACTCTTCCTCTAGCATCGACTGCTTTTCATTCACCTTTACCCTGGTTTAAAAAATTACAACAAAACTTAATACATGCAATTTTAGATTCTGATTCAATCCATAAAGATTTTAATCACCATTTTTAACTCTAATATTCAATAAAACATCACCAAAAACCTTAATTCCTCGGCAGTGATAAATTCCAAACAATTCCAAAAGAAGAACATAAGAAATACTGTCTGATCATTCTCTCTTCAATTCCTAGCTTTACTACAATGATTGAACAATTACTTCCTAATCTCTAATTACACCAAAAGCCTGGACGATTTCTCATTTTCTTCATTTCGCCTTCTAATTGGCATTCCTCGGGGTTCCCGTCTTATTTAGCCTCACCTCACCAATATTTCTTCCACTGTTCTTCAAAAGTTCTCGTCTATGCCGATGGCATAACTGTGGCATAATGGTGAAGCGTTAACGTTAAATTTACTTTGAAGTAACTTCCAAACGATACATAAACTTTAACAAAGCGGGTGCTACATTTCACTGGTGTGACGTTTTGCGAATATTGAAAGCTTATACGATTTCAACAACGGGTGTGGTGTGACGTTTCACCAACCAGTTTTATAAGTGGTTGGTTAAGGTCACACCACACTGCCTACCTATTCTGCGAATCTCAAAAGTTCTTCCATGGAAATGCGGTACAAAGTCTAATGCTGGTTTTTCACTTATTACGCGATGTGTCACCGTCACCTGATGATGATTCATAGAACGATATAGTCG